CCCTTGGAGAAAATCTCAGAACAGTGCGAGTGGGACCCCAGTGGGGACCCCTCCCTTTATAGCTTGCTGGCAAGGAAAATCGATGGCTAAGACGCCCTATTGGCGAATCGACGGTCCAAAAAACTGCACTCCGTGCAAGCTAATTTGAATTTTAAATTTTGCACGCCCACCTAGATTTTAGAATTTAATCCTCGTTGCAACCTCACCCATCTTTGAGATGAGTTGGGCAAGGGAGCTGAGCGATTTGTGGACTGGCCAGATAAATTACTAGACTGAGAAAGGCAATTGTGAACTACTCCCTTCGTTGAGTTAACATCAACTTAGGAGTGGGGGCAATTGATGAGGGGTAATTTGGTCCTCCGAATGACATCATGACATGTGACATTCCTGAACAAGTAGATGACATCTCAGCACCGGGTAAGCAGATCACCTCGGCAAAGCGGTTATCAACACCTCGTCCAGGGCTGACCTATAGTACATCGGCTTGGCCGACCTAAGGGACCTCAATGTAAGGAGCGACCTCTTTCGGGAACTTGCCGAGCTAACTAGGGTACAGGTAGCGACTTACGAGACGTGCTCGCCGACTTAAAGTCGTTATCGAGACTGAATTCTTTGGTGTAACAATGCTCAACCATTAAACCCGCTTTTCCACATCGCTCGCATCAGAGTTGACCGAACGAACCTTAGCCAATTGCGCGGATCACATAGCTAACTGGGATATTCTCTTCGAACTTAGTGGGAGTGGTTCCTTGGGAATCTTGGACCCGTTACAAGGGGCCTCCAATTCCTTACACCTAAATAAAGGCATCACTTTCTTGAGAGAAGGTACACGTGATTCAACTCTTGCATACTATGGTTATCTAGCATTCTAGCTTTCTCTCTAAAACTTCCAACTAACTGACTTAAGCATTGGAATGTCCACTCTGAGTAAAGCAACCCGGGCACTCTAATACTATCTCTCTGTAGGTTGCCCCCAAAAAACTATATAGCTCGCCGTTATTCAACTCGGCATCCGAGTCACCTTCCAGCTTGGCATCCATATCATCTTCCAACAAGGATTTGTCCAACTCAACTTCTGAGTCATCAACCAGCAAGATGTTTCCAAATCGCATATCATCACTATACAAAACATCTACGAACAATACCCAAGAGAGACCAATCTAAGAAGGGAGCTAAAAATCTTTTTCTTTTCTGTGTTATAGATTTCTCTTCAAGTTATTAATTTATAAATATGCCTATTTTTTAAATCTAACAGCAATTAATTATTAAGCCTCTGTAGCTGTTTTGCCAAACTAGCACTAGTAATCTAACAGCAATTATAAATATGCCTATTTGGGCAATGAAGGAGAAAATTAAAGGAGACCAGCACTAGTAAAATTGGGATATAGACATCATCTGGCCTCTTTAAGCTATAGAAGAGGAGACAATATTCAATATTGTTTCCTTTGGGAGCGAGGAAGGCTCTAGTTCTAGTTTGGACAGCAGATCAATAGCGATGGCGTCTCGATCTGCTCTTTAGCTAGCTACCCAAATCCTGCATTTGTGGAATAAAGTGTTTAATTAAATGGCTGAACTAGACTTAATTTTATTGGGGCAACCTACGATCGATACAGATAAAGTCACTCAGTCAGTAGTCAGAATTGCAATTTTCTTTTTCTTCTTATATAATATGTACCAATTAATATCCTATTGGCTATTGGCCTATTGCATTGCACTGATGCACATAGAAAATCTAATTTAAGCCCCATCAGCTGTTAAAAGGTTATTAATTAAGTGCACTATAATTGGGTAGTCCTTGCTCAATATGGTCATCATCAGGATCTAAACAAAAACAAGGATTTAGCTAAGAAAACAGAAAAATCGGTCAAAAATAAATAAAAATGTTCCACAAGGAAAGGTTAGCTATTTAGATTATTAATTAACTCACACCCCAACCGAGAATTAATGTATACTATGTCAAATAAACCCTACATCATGCCGGATTCCTTTGCCATGAAATAAATAGTACTATTTCCGCATGCTTTGCATTTGCCATGAAATAATGGGTGGGTAGCGTGGTGTTTTGTGCGATGCATATAATTGCATGGACACTCACTTCAAGAATTTCCCCCTCACCGGCCCTCACTCCCAAATTTGGGGAGCCTATTAGTAATGCCCTATACGGACAAAGAAGCTGATTCCATCGAAGAAAAAAGAATCCCCCAAAAACCTCAACGGATAACTTCATCCCAATAACCCTAGAAATCCTATTCGATCAGAACAAGGATGTTTGATTATAAGTATGCATTCCCCACTCGAGATATAAGACGTTTGGTTCTCTACTCACTCAACATCCCTTCACGTCATCTCTTTATCTCAGAAATATAGCATCATTCTAATCTGTTCATCCCAGCCGACCCTATTATCTTACTAACTTTAGCGTCGGAGTACCTATCCAGGTACACCATTTCTCGTAATGATTTGTAATTGGCTGATGAGAAACGAAGTAAACGTCTAATATCAAGGATGCCCATTAGTGAGATTCACGAATACCCACCCGTTGCTAAGCCAATTTTGTAAAAAAGCTGAAGGGTGTTGAATAACTTTGCTGCTTCGAATGCAAAGCTAGCTGCATAGTTGATTTGTTCTCAGTTCCAAGAGAGACAGTGCTGCACCCTACGGTTACTTACGGGCCTACCACGGTACCACCCATTGACCCATTCAAATTCAAACCAAATGAATGAACAGAGTAGGTGCGGTGCTCTACTACGCTGGCCCCAGGAGAGAGTGGCCGCGCGCTTTAGAATTCCTTGGGCTTGGACTATTTAGAATATTAGTTGGGTTTCAAATCCAAGGGGTGTGAGCTGTTGACCTCAACTGCAGGTTCTGATATTGGAAGTAAAGTGTCACGGGGGTAGATTTGCAACGGAAGAAACCTGTGCAGCGTCTAGGTCAAGGCAGGCCAGAACAAGTCTTATGTGCGTTTGGAGTTAGGAATTGACCAATGAGATGGCTCTACCAAGATCAGTAGCATTGGATCATGACCTCAAGGCTCATGACTAGGGCATTTTGCTGGCTCTTGTCGGTCCATGGGAAGCGCCACTTATGTGCTAAAAGGGGATGGCCATGATGAGAGGCGACTTGGTGCCGACGAGAGGGACTCCTGTATGCCGATGATGATAGGCAACCACTGGGCCGGAACACACCCGCGCGTTATGGGCAACAGGATAATTAATTCAACTTAGGCAAGGGGTTGGCGTGGTGAAGGGTCATGCTTAGGCCAGCCCCGCATGCCAAGTCTCCCTTGAGTGAGCAAAGGCATAGTGCCGGTCCATGCACTGTTCTCATGAGTATGTGTGCACCCATGAGAAACCTTGGTAGCCATGCTAGCCATTAACCAGGGTCGCCCTTCAAGAGATGTTGATCTAGGAGTGTCAAGGTTAGGCACCCAAGAAAGTCGACCACCACTCCTCAAAGAGTACATTAAGCTTTTGATAGTTTATTTGAATATGACATCATTTCTCCCAAAGGCAAAAATGATGATGGTATCCCTTAAGATAAACCCCATTTTTGGTAATAAAATTAATTCAAATAGACTTATCCACGTAAAACTGTTAAAATGACTTGGGGGTACGATCCATTACATTCACGTGGTCACTGGCATGAAGTTTTGCCAACTGTTGCCGAAAAGCGAAACAAAAATTACGAAATAAAAAGCGTAGAGACAGGCAAACTAGGCAGTAGGCGTGATGGGTGAAGGCCCCAATTTTCACACAATATACATGCATAGCAGGATTAGCCATGCCCATTAGCCATTAGGGACAAAACAAGCACAACAACAAGACTATGCAAGTCCCAATTTTCTTTGTTTTCTTTCTCTTCTTCTACCGACCCTGAGGGCTTTGTCGTTTGGAGCTTTAGTTTGTTCCTTCATTCTACTTTTACACTCACCTCACTACAGGCATAGTCCAGGCCAGCAAACGAAATTAAACTTTGGCAAGAGGATTCCAAGACAACCAATCACTCGATATATAAAAATTAGAATGAAAAATTATTCCTATTCGCGCCTCTGTGATCGAGGTTTTCAGAATTTCCTCAACTTTGGTTATGCTATCTGTGAATCCAGTCGGACTCAATATCTTCCAATATTCCAGAAACTGAGATTTTTTATTCTTTGATACCAAAACAGAAAACATCAACATACTATACCCACGAGCATCACGAACAAGGCAGAAATTAAGATCAACAAGACTAATAAGAAAAGAATGAAGAAATCGTCAAACAAAGAATCCCGCCATCACTAATTAAACTCGTACAGCAAAAATAAATTTCCCGAGTCACATGAAAGCACACGAATCATCGTACCACGGACTGACTGCCCCAATGCCCAGAACCAGAGGCTGAGAGCAGGAAACAACTTACTGCGGACTGCCTACTCGTTAAAAGTGTAACGTTTCACGTTTGGTCCCGACCACATTTCAACTTTTTTCCATACCTTTCTTTTTTTAAAGCTTCGATCGTCTTTGATTTGTCCAACTACTTCCATTCACATTCCCTCTCGCCTCTCCCATAATTAATTTGCTATAAGTGGTAACATAACTTCATTGCCTAAAACAATAACCAAACCAGATGCCGATCGGGTGGCAATTTCGGTGCCAATCGTACCGCTGTACTCGAAAGTCCAAACCGAAAATATTCCCATCTCTTCTTCAAAAAAAACCGGTTCCAACATGATCTCAATCCAATTCTGTTTGAGCAGCCCAGCTCCTCTGTCACGCTAGCAGATGCTCATAGCCTCGTACGGACTCACACTAACCAGGGTTAGAAAGTTAAGTAAAAGACAAGCCCACGCGTGTCCTAATTAAAAAAAAGGTCGCGTTTACTGGGCCCAACCTGGTTTCCTTCATTATTATTTTTTTTTTAAATTATCAATTAATTGGTGAGACCGTAAGAGTAGTGTGTTGGTGTTATGAGAAGGAGAAAAAAAAAAAGGTAGACAAAAGAAAAAGTAGATTTTTCTTTGAGTCTATAAAACCAAAGCTGCTCCATGGAAAAGGTTCAGTTCTCCCTGGTCTGAATACTCCCAGAGTGTTTAGTGTTTACCTCCCTAAAGACCCAAACCGAGAAAAACGAGTAAGGAAAAACATATCAGAGACCCGCTGGTCTTCTCTTTTCTTCTTATTTTCTTCCTCAGATTTCCATTCCTTTCTTAGACTTTTCCATCTCCAGATTCCCGCAAATTTCATCATATCTATCTAGAGATGTCTTGACATCCCTTCGGTGTCCATTTCTTTCCCGCCCATTTCAGCTTCCTCCACTCGATCTCTTCAATTGGCTCTCCAGCAAATAAAGCCATTGACCGATCTCTCTTTCTTTCTCTCTCTCTCTCTCTCTCTCTCTCTCTCTCTCTCTCTCTCTCTCTTTCTCCAGCTGATAATGGATTCTTTCGATTTCGATAACATTAAAGCAGAGAAGGCCAACGCGATGCTCAGGTACCGCCGTATTCGCAAGATTGCCAACCTCTTCCGCTTCCTCGAGGCTTGTTTAGCTCTAATCATAGTCTCATGGTTTTCTGCTCGTCTTCCGGTCGCCATCAAAACCTCCGGCGAGTATTTCCAAAAGCTATGCGTGGTACTGGTTAGTCCTCTCTTCGTTTTCTTACTCGGAAACGCTATCATCATCACTCTCTTCATCAAATCCGATCAGTTTTCCGGCCAGACTGCTACCGCAAGCAATTCCAGCCATGATATATACGACGAGTTCGTCAAGAACAGCGAAAACCGCCAGAAGATCCGACCTGAGAGTCCTGAACCGTCACCGGAGGTGATAGTATACGAGGACAAGGAGACTGTGAGCGAAGGGAGCACAGCTGCCCGGACTTATCAAGACGTTCAGATGATTTCGAGCACAAAGACTTATAGGAGGATTCAGTCGGAGAAATTCACGCACGAGAGTCGAGAAAAACTGCATAGAGAGCTAAGGCGGTCGGAAACGGAGAAATGCCAGAAAGTTAACAGTCCCGACCCCGACGAGAAAGGGGAAGTGACGTCATATGCCGAGCCTATGAGCAACGAGGACGCCGAGGAGTTCCGGCGCAAGATCGAAGCCTTCATTGCAAAGCAGCAGAAGTTTCAAAGGGAGGAATCGATGGCTATCATTCTTCAGAGTCTGATCAGCTGATGGTTCCAATATGATAACAAAAATAAGAAAATTAACGAAAATCGAAAAATAACCGCTGGAAGAAAAATTGTCTTGTTTTTCCTCATCTTTGATTTTGCTTTAATGCTGCTACACTTATGTACAGTATTAACATTAATAGCGATTAAAGTAAAAACGAAAAGAAAGCCATGGATTTTGTCCCTTTCTTCAGTTTTCTTATCGATGAGATGATGACGTGTTCTACTAATCTGAACCGTTGGATTAACGTGCTCTAAAAAAGATGGAAATGTTAAGTTGATCCCTCTTATATTCTGTAACGTGGATGTTATGTTGGTGGTGAGCAGAGAATATATTTAATTAATTTCTTTCCTTGTTTGAGACATTAAGATATGGATTATTATTAGATAAAAGATTCGGGTTTCGATAGAGGGACTCAGGAAAGAGAAGAGCACATTCGAATGCTCATTTTGAGTTGTAGGCATTTTTCTTTTCTTTTCTTTTTCGAGAGGCAAATGAAAGATACATATAGAAGGAACGGATTCCAAATTCTGTGTTTTGGTGGTGGTGGTGGTGGATATGCTGTTGCAAGCAAATCGTCGACCCCAAGCCTGTAGTTGTAGAAAAAGCAGTTCTACTTCTAACGTGTAATGGATATGATTAATTAAATGAAAAGCTTGAGGTGCATCCACGTCAGGTGCGGATTCCCTGCACTCGATCGACCGATGCACCACACTCCATATGCCCTACAATTCTCTTCAATTATTCCTTGTGTCTGTCTTTCTTATTTAACCCTCTTTTTATGCTGCTTGAGAGCAAGAAAAGAGGCCGTTCCATAGTGTCAGGTAATAGTTGATGAATATAATAAAGGACGATTATGGTCTGATGATTTCATCAAGTCCCCAAGTGGAAGTGGGGTTTGATCGAAGATCATCGCCTTGATTATTAGTTATGATTTGATGTGCAACTAATTGTTTTTCAACTACAACTAATGTTATTAGCTTAATTAAATTGGTTTTGAAAGTTTTCTTAAGAGGTAGGTACTGGGTACTTGTTCTGTTCTTCACTACTACATATGGAAAATCATGATCTAGACTAGACACGTAGTTAAACTGACTTTTCATGGATGAAACCAAAATTTCTCCTTTCACATAGCCTAATCATAATCAGTAAACAAACCCTGTGGTGAAGGATGATAAGGAATACATCTTCAATCATTTCGTACCTGCTTGCTTGACCATGTCTTGCAACAAATTGTTTCTTTACTGTGTGGCACCATTTCTGTTTGTTTATAGTTACGATTTGCACTTGCCTGATCATACAAGATCTCTACCTTTTCTTCACATTTAAACCCAACGGTAATGTTTGCACTACCTTAGCTTAGATCATATACCATATTGATTCCTATCACACTCCTACACAAATTACTTCATTTTATTTCTCACAAACAAATAAGAAGCAGTCAATTCTGAAATAAAAGTAAATCACAATTTATTCGGTTTATTTGCACTCTCATGCATTTACCCCAGTGCAAATCAAATCCACATTATAAACAAATTGAGTGTTAGGCTGAGTTTGGAAATGATGCAAATGGAGTGTAAATCCCCCATTCAGCATAAATTTGCATTCTGTTTCACTTTTGCTTGTGTTTTACAACATTAAATTTTTGCATTGACAAATGATAGACCAATGCATATTTACATTGATAAGAAGATGTAAAAGTACATCAATAAAAAAGAAGTAAATTTGCATTTAAATGGGCTTTTGATAAAAAAATGGATTTTTAAACTGCACTCTATTTCAGAATTCTGATTTGAACTGCACACCTACAACAATTCAAAATTATAAACAGTTCCCACCTATAACAGCCATACCCGCCTATGAATTGACATCAATTCTGAACTGGCACCTACCCCAAACTGTACGATGGAGCAACGATTTCTAGGGTAGATTGATCAGTAAAAACCCTAAAAAAATATGTTTTATTGGAATTCGTGTTTACATCATTTATAGCTAAAAAATCTATTTGATAAGAAGGTAAATTTGTCAATACAAAACTAACCCCATTTATAATTTATATGAACCATTTTACACTCTATATATTTGCATTCACATATGTTTGCATCGTTTTCAAACACAACCTTATGAATTGAAATTACATTTGATTTTTATCTAGACATATTAGGTACTTAGTCAAATAATCCCTAGTTTTTTTTTTAATCCTAACTTCTTACTTTTTAGGAGGATTCTCATTATTACTCCCACTAGAATAAGGATTATGGGGTGGTTAATGAACTTTGTTGTTCCTTTATTGGGTGCTAAAACTATTACTTTATATTTCCAAAGTTACCACTAACCATTTGTTTCTATAATATTCCTTAATGGTACATATCAGCAGACTGACTCAATATATAGCTTCAATTTTCTCTTCTTAATTTCTTCCATGGTTTTTCTTGTTTCTGTCTTTTGTATCAGTTTTGTCATGTCTTGAAGGGCCAGAAAAATATGCTTTGGCATGTCTAGTGCAGAATTTAGTGATGGGTTCCAGCATAATGTGGGACCCTTTATAGAATTTGTAATGTATATTCATTTCTTTTTTTTTTTCACAAAATACCGTCTTGCTCTTATCCATTCATCCCACAGATTAAGAAATTTCCATAAGATCTATTGCTTTTATGCTGATAAAAAAATGGTTATTATTTATAGAAGGGCCGATTAAGTATTATATGTTCGATGGATCATGGGGTCATCAATTGTACTTTTCCAAAGGTTAGAAAAAAAAAATAAAAGCAGAGATGCCTTTAAGCTGACATGTCAAGTATATAAATAAAGATTGGACCTACCATCAAATGGGTCCTACACCAAACAATAGCACAAACCAATGATCCATGAACCATGATATATTTGACTAGAAAGTTTAGACTCTATCTAACGGCGGATATCTATTATTTGAATTTCAAAAATAATTAATTAATTATATTACTTAAATTAATCTGATCTTTGTGAATTTTTTTACACAAGTGTTAATTACTTTGAAGCATATTTGAAGATGGTTTCAGATTCTCTATAACAAGGCACATATGTTAGCCGCAAGGCTGCAACATTTTTAATTTAGCAGAGCGAAGATGATAATAATAAAGTAGAAGTATTGCAGCATCTTAATCATTCTTTGTGTTTATATTTTTAACATTGTTTTAAATTTCATAGATCGCATTGAAGCTGCTCTCTCTCACTCACTCATAGAAAAACGAATAAAAATATTTTCTTTTCAATGTACGGTTGAATAGCTGTCACAGCTATATATGTAACCTCATTTTCATACATAACTTAATATTCTTTTTTCTTAATATATAATTAATTAATTGGTAAATCCATGATGCCCTTAATTAATCGATAGAATTAGGGTTGGAATGAGGCTTGGATTCCTTGTCTACTAGCCAAAAACAGTCTAAGTCGTCTAACTAATGTAGCGGACACTGGTTTCGTAAAGAACCATTTTTTTAATGGGTTTGTGACGCACAAGGCACAAGACACGATTCGTGAAGGACAATGAAGGTATCGATTCTCTCTCTCTAGGTCGACATCATCGTCCATTAAAACAGGGCATTAAATTATTAATGAAAATAAATCTTGACCCCTATGTTTTAGGCTTTAAATCCAATTTCTTTGTATATATAGAGACCTCTTTAATTAATTTGCAAATCCAAATTTGACATAAACATGCAATCTTCTTTTATCACATCACTATTACTTGTTTTCTGTGAAACATCGATCTCTTAGTTGGAACTTGAATGAATCATGTTATTGATGATTTGGCTGAAAATGCAAGCAGAAAACCAGAACCCCCCGGATGTGGTTAAGGTTGGCCGGCCGGTTAAGATTGGGAAGTTCCGACTTCCAATCTAATTCAACTGTTTACTATACTAAGCACACAATCAAGCAGAGGTTAGAGGTGAGACCCACCACTAACAAGTGTGGATTCATCCCGTCTGGAGAGAAGGAGGGCCTTTTCTGGCAGTGTTGGTGGGTCCCAATCCTTCACAGATTCAATGACTATTTTACCTTTTATTTACCCATGTCATTTAGTCAGGTTCTTGGTTACTGATCAGGCTGAGGCAGCCTTTGACTCCCAAAAGTTTATATGATTTAATTTTTTTATTATTATTTACAAGGAAACATGTATGCAGTTGAGCCATTATTGATAAAAGAAATTGAAAAGAAAGCAACCTCGAGAACATACTTTAGGCGTCATCAATTCTTTTCTAATAATGCACGTACGTACTAGCCTTGATCACTTGAACTATCTCAAATTTGATCTTAGTTCTCGACAAGTAAGAAATTAGCCCATGATCCATTATTTCTCTCAAATCAAACCACAGCTCCTGACATCCCCTCCCCGCTGGGAAGAATTAGCCACATCAATCATCCCTATAGGGCTGTAGGAGATGAGAAATATGAGATGTAATATATACGGGGAAAGAAAAGCAAGGTTCATACTGTAACTTTGGAGGAGAATCTCTGAGGTGCATTTGAAGACATTATCTTTAGAACATTATTTGTCCCTACTCAGTTTCACTGACTTTGCTGTTGAGTTACAGGCAAATCCGTTCCTAGGATACAACAGAGTTTTGGGCAAGAATCTGCAACCAGCAAAGTTGAAGAATCTCCAGAGAAACCTTCTATGAGACTGTAGTAGACCGAACTGAGAGAGAGAGAGAGAGAAAGTGGATTTCGAAAATGTGTGTTTTTGAAGTCCGATTCATGCTCCTTAAATAGTTTATGAAGAGATATGAAGAAAATGTAGGTACTGGTTTAAAGAAGGCACATTGAATAATCACAATTTCAAATATTGTGACTGTTTAAAAAGTAGTTAACAGTTAATGACTGTTAACTTTGAATTGTGCCTCTTGATCACACCCGATCGAATCGTGACCGTTGATCTCATCAACGGTGATCAACGGTCAATATCGCACCAAAACCAAAATACGAGCAAAATGCGGCTCTAAAGCGCCTCATTGCACCACACACACACGCGCGCGTGCGCCCGCGTTGTGTAGTATCAAACCTCCATACTCTACTCTATTATTTTTAAGGAGTTCAAAACTAGATTTTGTAAGAGAAAAACTAATTTTTCAATCAAATGTATAGGTGCAATTTCTCATGTAATTGACCAATCAAACCCATTAAATTTAATTTCTTATGAAATTAAAATGCAACACATACTTAGGACATAATGGGAACTTGATTTTTCTTTCTATGTTAGTTAGTTCTTAGTAATAAAGCGTCGGACAAATTCCCTTTTTCACTTTACATGCCTCTTGGGAATGTCAATGTTCATTGATATTGACAGATAACTAGTTCTATTTTTGCAACAACTGACGGAGAACCAGCAAACCTTACAAGAAGTGGACCCAGTTAGTACAAGACACGGTCATTTTGGCTTTATAAAAGAAGACACCAAAGACAAGGAGGCAGAACTCAGAGAGAGAGAGTAGTGATTGATATTATAATCTTAGCTCTCTGGCCTATTCTGCGTTAAACAAAAAAACATATAAAAGAGACAAGGGTCCAATTAAACCAGAGACGGTGGGCACTGGCAAAGGATAGTTTTAGACAAGAAAATAAAAAATAGAAAAGAGAATGTTGACGAGTCAAAGTTGTTTCCTTGTCGATTGCCCTAAAATTAGGTGTCCTTCCACTTGATAATCGTCCAATTCTGTGCTATTTTTTTGTCCCAAATGGGAGTATGGGACCACTACTACTCCTACTACTAGACTATGATAGAAAGCATTGAGGAACAACCTTCACATTATTTGTCCTCCAATTGGGTAATTTCAGAAGACTCATTATTGCTCTTCTACTTGTAAAGAAAGAAGATGGGGATCGCAGGAAGGAAGATTAGATGGTTGAAGGCATTGTTGCGTTAGGACCCAGCTGGTAGCGGACAAAAAAAAGGGGTAATTTTCTGTAAAAAAAAAAAAGAAAAAAAAAATGGTAGCACATTATTTTCTTCTCCAACGACCAATTACAACATCTTCAAAAGTGGAAGTGGAGCTGTGGAGGTGGGTGTCTCGATATGGATGGGGGACCTTCGTATATATAGCCCAAAACTCAAAAGGCCTACCATTGTCAGTTTGTCACAGAGTCACAGTGGGGGATGATAGCTTATTCGTATTCCCCTTTTATCACTTTGTTTTGTTCATTTGGGGCTGTGGTTTTGTCCAGTGACGGGACCTGATGGTGATGGGCCCTCTTTCTATTTTTTAACTTAAAAACAAAACAAAAAAATATGGAGGCTGAATTGTTATGAATTCTGAATCAAACACATTGTGGTTATGCACTTGCTTAACTAACCATGTCATTCATTCTTTTCTTTTGTCATGACAAGCAAATAAGGACACACGAAATATGGTCTCCAATCTACTCTTAAGGACTCCGAAGACATGCCTATGACCAGATGCATTTTACAATAGAATTTTAGGGTTTAAGGGTTTATGGATTTAGAGTTTAAATATTAAGGTTTAGGGTTAGGGTTTAAGATTTAGAAATGGAGGTGTTACGCTTTTGTCCAACCATGGTAAGAATGAACTACAGCCCGGAGTTGGAAGGACAGCGCATTATACTTGCATTACTGACTATTACCAATTGCTGACGCTGTATAAAATTGGGGTGTCAATTGGATTGGATTTGGTCCAATCTGATCCGATCCGGTATGAGTGTATTACAAATGAATCTGGTCAAATCCAATCCGATGAAATACATTGTATCAGTCCAACTCAATATTTCGACCACTTAATCTGTTCAAATTGGTTTTAACTTAGATCAGTTGCAACTTCCAACCCAAACCTGGTCCATTGACACCTGTACTCTTATCTTCTATCAATGGACCGGACAATGGTTCAATCTTAGACCCAATCCTATGTAAATCCATAACAGATGGACCAGATCCAATCCAGTCAAATCCAATAAATACTTTCTACCATTAAGTCTGGACTGGTCCAATTCAATATCTGTCTGTTCAATCGGTCTAAATTGAATTTGGTTTGCATGGGTTGAACCTAAAACCCGTCCATTGACACCCCTAATATTAATCTATCAAGTTGGCTTATTTTCCTTTTCATCATTCGTGTCTGTTTCTTCAGGAATATGAGAAATTTTGAACTCACATCACATGGATTCAAGTATTCAACTAAACAGAAACAGACCAACAAGTAACTCCATTTATTTTTTCTCGTTAATTTGTGTCAAGTATTAAAACTTTAGTAAAGGCAAGTGCAATTGAAATGGCGTTTCATCTCCATTAATATTTCAGAAAAAAAGGGCAGAGAACATGAAAACTTAATGTGATCATAAGATAATGCAACAATTAGGGGTGTCTTTCCCAGGTTTAGAATTTAGATACAGACAGACAGTCAGATAAGCAATATTATAATAATATGAACCACAAACACGGGCCTCCATCATTTGGGATCTCATTTTTCTTTGTTATTTTAAAACTTACTGAATAATTCCACAACTTCCTTCAGTCCAACAAACCCGATAAAGCTTTCATTGTTACCTTACCAAACTTTCAGAAGCCCTCTTGAGTCTTTAAGTAGGTGAGGCCAAAAAGGGGGTTCAACATGCTCCAGGCCTCATACTCGCGTTACACGAATCGGGCATCCAGTTCTGGGCCTAGCAAAAAGTACCCACTTCTCTAGACTTGAATCCGGATCCATCACCTTCCATCTGCTCAGAAATGAAAAATCAAAATCACCACATCATTTACCGAGTCGAGTTTATCATGGATGATGCGGGGAGGGCTTTTTTGAAAATTAGGCCCAGTCCAATTAATTAAGTTTATGGGCCTAGATTAGGTCCAAATCGAATCATATCATATATATAGTAAAAAAAATAAAAAATGGTATTATACCTGTAAGTGGTGACCAAACGATTTAGAAAGACAAGCATCATGGCTTTAGCCAGGTTCATCCCTAGGCATGTCCTCCCTCCTGTTCCGAACGCTAAGAAACTGTATGGCTTGGACTCGTCCTGACAGACCAATAAAATGATAGCGTGTAGATGGACTCAACTCAACTGTTCTCATGGACATTAACAAATTTTATTATCACATAAAATGAATAATAATTAATAGTCAGACTTACGTCGAATCTGGAAGGATAGAATTCTGAAGGGTCATGATAAACTGTAGGATCCAGGTGTATATATCTGGCATCAATGTTAACAATCCAGCCTTTCTTTATCTTAAAACCTGTATATAAAACGTACGGGAGCTCCTTATGTATCAGAATTTCTTGTTTCCCTTTCTCAAAAATCGAAAGATTCAGAGAATATCTCTTTTCATTATTTCTAAAGCAAGCGTACGTAGTGGTAGAAACGTAGAGTAGATGAATTATATATGAATCTGAAACCAAAACTAACCTTCAATCTCACAGTCTTTCAGTGCTACCCGTGGGAACCAGGGAACCACAGATGCCATCCTTAGAGATTCTCTGACTACCTGTCCATCAAAATACTCCATTAATTAACGAAATCTGTGCTTAAAATGGAGTATACTGTTTAGCATTATACAGGCTAATCCCTCTCAATTATACAGAATGGAGTATATATATAGATCACTGAACACTCTCAAGCTTTTCTCAAATTAAACATCTCATCTTCCTTGAAGGAGATCTGGAGAGAGAACTCTTTTCATGTACCTTAGAAGCATATGGCATGGCATTGAGGTCTTCAATTGTAAGAGGTGATCCACATGGGTTTTTGTCTGCTAACATGAGTTGTTGCTCAGCCTGAAACACAGAGAACAAGGATGGGAAAGAGATTAACACTTTCCTCTATGATGAATGCATGAATACTAGAGATAACATAATTAAATAATAATAATAATAATAATAATAATAATAATAATAATAAATGATGGTAGCTTCCAATTACCCTCAATGTGTGTTGGATCTCCTGGTTCTCATCCAGGTACTTAACCATCCATGTCATTGCGCTTGCTGTGGTGATCTGACCTGTGGATTTCATTTTGTATATATTAAGAAAATTGGGCTGCATCTGTTTGTTACTTTTGTTTCTCTAATTAACAAAAGCATTAAGAGTACTTATATATATATATATGCTCTAAACCTGCAATTATCATTGTCAAGATATTGTCTTGGACTTGTGAATCCGTGAGCTTGCAGCCTAATTTCTCATCTTCAGACACCAGTGATTGTATGAAATCTTCATGACATTCTCCGCAACCTTGCCTCCTTTCATCAATAATCTTCTTCAACATCTCCATTATTCGTTTTCGTGCCTGTCCCGTCATTATCATGGTGGTGGATTTACTCTTTTTTTATATATGCTTTAAATTTTAAAACTTGAACAAGCATTATGAACCAAATGAAGAAACTAGAAAGTAAACAAAAAAGAACAGAATTGCTGATGAAATCAATTCACTACCTTCATCCCTGCGCGAAACCTTGTATAAGGTAGATTCAAGGGAAAGGCCAGCATCGCTTCGCAAACTTGTCCAACATCCTTTTGCAACATTTCTAGCTCATTAGGATTCTCTAAACTTATCGCCATCTTACATATTGCCTGAAAGGTTACCTGCACCAAATATACAACCAACAAGGCTAGACGTCACAAGCTTAGCCAAGGGTCCCATGCATATTGGGTTGGGTTCTATCAACTAATAATTTAATGGGTTCCCCTAGCATGGCTCACATGGTCTCCATCCAAGTTCCAATGAATCCATATTGGGTCTTATTGAATTCATAGAATGTAAATTCAGATCCAGACTGCGTTTAATGGGTATGGATTTAACTATTTTAGTCCATGATGGGCTAGACGAAGTGCAGGCTTCCCAAGGATGATATCTTATTAGCTTAGCTGGGGTGGTCGTCTCCTTCCTCCTCAGTACTCAGTAGTCAGTAGCGGGTTAGGAATAAATAAAATGCAATTGAAATTGAAAGTGTAATTATTGAGATTGGTGGTGGACAAACCTTGAGTGCATCGTCCAGCACAACCACAGTTTGCTTATGTTCCCAGCTCCTGAGAGTCGTGACGATCAGATGGTCGAAGTGCTTGATAAACGATGACGTAGAATCCATGGTGAACAAATTGGAGAGACGGCCGCGGATTAATCTGTGGTACTCCTGAGTAGCACAGAGTATGCTCTGATCCCCTACGAGTTCTGAAATTGATTTTACATATCTCTTTGTGAAGTTGACGAAGTCGTTGCTGAGAATTGCCTTTGCAGATTCCACACTCGAAACAAAGACATGGGTCTTCCCAAATATGTTGGTTTTGAAGCAATTACCATACCTGTGAGAGAGTGAGAGTGATTGAGGAATGGTCCAAATAAGCTTCCAGCTCCAGCATTGAAGCATCACTAGGCCCACTAATGCGTTAAAAATGGTTGTTATATTTGGGTTTGGGCTAGCTGGTTAAAATGCAAATCCAACCAAATGATAGAGCGTAGCATGATACTCATGGTTTTGAAAACCGGATCAGACCGGATGGTCAAACTGGTTGATCCAGGAAACGGTCATCGTTCTAAGTCTGGTTTTGGACCCCAATCCCCAAAGCCATCCAACTGAGCTTCAGCTGGCCGGTCCATCGGACCGTTTTAAAAAAGTTATGTTTCCAGATCGGTTTTTAAAACCATGGAGTAACTGGAGTTCATTTAAATTCGTCAGACCCTAGGGCCTCCGTCGTGGACATAAAAAACGAACCGTAACACCCATCGCAGGTTACGGAGAATTGGAATGGACCAAGTTTGGGTCAGGGTTACTTATCAAATAAAGTTTGCGTCAGGGTTGTAAAATGCGTAAACCCAACTATAAAGTGCAAATGAAAAAAAAAATTGCAAATTTTAATTTAATTTTGTTTTGGATTTTACTTTATTCTAGTTTGTTCTTATTTTACTTCATTACTATTGCAACTAAACAAACAAATTAAGCTAAAATTTGAAACGGTCAGAATTTACACTATTTATTGCACTGCCATAATTTTGCATAACTGCAAATTTATTTGTACTGCAACCAAACACAGCCTAAGGTCCAAACTGAGTTTGGTTAATCCAGCGTCCTGCAAATCGCAATATAATCATTTAGGTTGCATTTGGTACCATTGTAGTTTCTATTTGAAATTTTTTTAGTTGATCAATTTAAATTGGTGAGAGATATGATTATATATTTACTTTAGCTAAAATTATTAAAATTTATCCCTTCACAAAAAAAAAAAAATCAACTTGATGTTTCTAGAAACAATAGGGATGGCAATTTTCCCCATCCCTTGCCCAACCCTGATTATATACATATATATATATATATATATATATATATATATATCAAAATATTATTTATATTTCAAAACTTTCTTTTATTTTAAATAAATTTATTTTTCAAAAAATAGTTTTAATTACAATTTCAGGGATCCAGGGATAAAAAATGAAAGGTAATTTTTATCCCCAACATAGATCAAAATCAAAAACAGGGATATATTTTAAAATTAGGGTTGGAAATGGAGATTACAATCCCCGCCCTATTGCCATTTCATACATGCGTTTTTAAAATATAAATTTCTTTAATCATAAATAGCGTTACATAACAATTGTATGTCAATTTATCTTAATAAAAAAAAAGTAGAAATAACAATTATACCAAATATCACTGTCAGATTGCCTTACACGTGCACGAGGTAAATAGCGTTACATAACAACTTAATAAGTTATAACTAACAAATATCACTGTCAGATTGAACCGGCCTCACGTGCACGAGGTAATTCCGTAATTGCCTTACACGTCTTGAAACCCGAAAGGAGATTAGGAGATGGGCTACCCCTGTTGTATAGTCCCATAAAGCGAAAAAAAAAGGGATAGATAAAGGGGAATTGGTTACCGGAGGCGTCGGATATGAACGAAATGGTATAATCCTTTGGCGCTGCTGTTAGCTGATAGGAACTGCAGTGATTCTCCGATCAGTGGGAGTCCCCCGGTGCCGGGAGGAATATTATCCGTCGATTTGTTCCGACATAATAAGATCTTCTGGGTAGTTCGGAATAACCAGAAGGCAATGACAAGCACCGAGCAGAGATGGAGGCCAAGTGGAAGAAAAGCGTGAATGAATGTCATCGATCGGATTTTTGTTTCTTCTCTCTCTCTCGACCCAAAGTCGAACTGAATCTTGTCAGTCCGACTCCGAGAAGGAGATACTCGTCGACTTATATCCACGGGAAAAGTGATACAGTACCGTAGGTGAAGTCTATGTCACCTTTTCAAATCAACGATCGAAAAAGCAGTAATTTGTGCGGCTGAAGACAAAGAGCGTTTGTGTCTGGCCGACAGGTTTCGTCTCCCTCCACTAATTAGAGAGAGTGGAAAATGGCATGCATTTTGTCACCAAGTTTTGGTAGTGACGTAGGCTCACATAGCCTTGCCCAATAGCGGGCCTGTACGCGTGTTAGACGGTGGCGCTCACGGAGGGCCCAATCAGGGCGCACGCGGAATAGAGATTGGCCTGCATTCTGGAATTAATGGCGTGGCTCCACTTGGCGATCTCGGATGATGGTGCCCTTCGCGTATGGATCGCATCCGGATCGTCCGAGCCCACCTATTTCTAGGCGGTCTCAAGTATAAATAAGGAGGCAATCCTTTCAAGTTAAAGGAATGGAACCTAGAATTAAGAACAAGAACTCGAGAACTCTTAGTCTCCTTTGTGGCCTCGTTTGAGTGTTCAACCTCAGGTCTCATCCACTTTGCACCGCATTCGTACTAACTTGACTGTCGAAGTCTCCGCCTCGAGTACCAACCTGGGGCCTCTAACGTTCTCCTTCCTTTACTCCTTGCAGGAACAGCCTACCAGCCCTTGGCCACTCCATGCCTCAGACTACTCAACCACACCTCAACTTGTGAGCACATTGACAGTGTTGCCCTCAACTCATTTGGACCGGAAACAATTGGCGCCGTCTGTGGGAACGCCGCTAAGACTTCCCTCAATTAAACTCATCCCCACTCAAACTTATAAGAATTAACTCCAAAGCCTAAGCTTTAGTCGACCTGACAAGAAACACCAGGAACACTCAGAACCTGGTCACGATGGACCAGTTTCAAGCAGTCCTCAACAAGCTCAACAACCTCGTGCAAAGGCTAGATGAGGTGGGGCGCTCGGTAGGAGGCCACCCGCAGGTCAGTCGCCCCACTGGAAGCCTGGGGCATCATGGCGAGCACGCATTTCCAGACCCCTTAGCTATTGGCCCAGTCAGACCCAATAGGGACGACCCCTCAAAGTCTGATAGCAGCCGATGCGCCAGTCAGTCGCCGAGGACCTCACAACCCCCTAGCCGAAGAGGGGAAGAATCCTCACAGTCTCGTTATCACCACCGAGACACAGGTCATCATCACCGACGCCAAAGAGAGAACTCTCAGGATGAAGGCAGGCGATCAGGCCATCACAGCCCCCTTTCAAGGGCTGAGGGCCGACGCCATGCCTCTCCCTCTCGTGTCTCAAACCTCCAAGACCTCCTGAATGACAGATGGGCCATAAGGAATGGACACGGGCCCGCATCAGAGTATTCGGGGAATCAGGCCAACCCCTACTGAGTCCTTGAGAACCAGGATGAGGCCCAGGTCCCCCTTGACCAAAAACTTGTTGACCTGCAAGCACAACTTGGAGCCGTCAAGGACGACCTCCACCAAGTCAGAGAAAGCTGAGCAGAGACCTTAGCTAGCCAAAACCATCCATCCGGGACGATGGATGCCTTCACCTTGGAAATCATCTCCAAGACTCTTTTCCCCCACACTTCAAAGCGCACACGCTCGAAAATGTATGATGGGACGATCGACCTGGATGGCCACCTAGAAAGTGTCAAGGTGCTTATGTTAGACAGTTTTGTATGCCCTTAGATTCAATCCGATTTGATGTACTTTTTGACATATAGTGTAAATAAATAAAGTGCATGTTTGATTCATRTTGATTGGTATGATTCTATGTAAGACCCTAAAACTGGACACTTAT